TGCACTGGAGGTGACAGTACTGATGGGGGTGACCACATGCATGTGGGAGGGCATCAGTAGGTGGGAGGTTTATTATGTGCCTGTGCTCTCGAGGTACCACCTATGTTCAATTTGGGCCCAGACCAATGGCTCTGGGCAGTTCCCTGGGAGCACAGCTCACATCTAAGCACAGGTTGACATGGCTGGTTAGGTTGTGCACTGCCCAAGGATGCCTGCTGAGTAAGTATTTTTCTATATCTCATGTGGGTGCATGTGTTTATTATGTCAATTTTCCAGGAGCCCCAGGAACAGCGGCAGATGAAGGTAGGAAGGGCTGCCCCCTCTCCAAGGAGACTCCAAGTTGGCTATAAGCTGATTGTCCAACTCCTTCATAGGAGCATCAGCAGGGTACCCCTATACCCCATGTGGGAACCTCTGCTGGGTAGTATCCTTCTATCCAATGGTCTTCAGCAGGTAGGCACGTGTGTCTAGAAGGGCCAGCACATGCCAAGCTCCACGCTGAGAAGGAGAGGGAGGGGGAGGTGCTTGGTGCAGGGTAGTCACCATGATGGACCCCACCCAAAGTGCAATCCCAATACTCACCCACCCAGCCCTCAATCTCCGTTTTATGGGCAAGGACACGGACACACAGAGAGGTCAAGAAGCTGTTCCATGGTTACATGATTGATACACTGGGAGCCCAAGTGCCCAGGTTTAAGTACTTGGCCTGGAGGACACCCAAGAGACACCGTGCTGCACCAGCCAACCCTCTCCAGACCCCACCCCTCTGGCCCATGGAGAGGAATTGCTCCAGAGTCTTCCTTATCTCTGGCGCCATCCATTCTCCCTCTCTGCAAAATCCTTTTCAGAGTGTGTAAATTAGCTGTTATCTCTCTGGCAGTAAGCAGAAAAGACAACCCTCCCTTGGCTGGCTCCACTCTTCCTTCCTTTTGCAGCAGGGCCACTTGCAAGAGATGTTGGTGCGCTGGTTACTCTCCCACCCTCTTTAAACTCCCCCACGGCCCTCCCGCCTCCAACGCTGCTATTCTCAGGGTCACAGTGACTCCCACCTCACTCGACCCAGGGCCCTGCTTGATGGTCCTTCCTTCCCTGGCTTCCAGAACCCCTCTCCTGGTTCCCCTCCTGTTTACTTCACACATCCCTCAGCAAATCCCCTGTCTTCAGAATCTACCAGGAGTTTCTTGCTTCCCAAACCTGAGCTGCACCCATGGTGGTTCCTGAACTGGGGATCCCCCTGTGTCTGCCCTCACTGCTCTAGTCTTTTCCCCACCTTGCCCCCCCGTCCCCCCCTCCCCCGCGGAGCCTGCACGTGTCATCCTGCTCGAGATCCTCCCGTGCCCCTAGCGCCTCTGGCCACTTCCCGCACTGGGCCCAGCCACCCCCGCTTGGCCTCCTTTCTGAGGTCCGGCGGCGGCTTCTCGGTGCTCTGCCCACGGCGGCCCCTCTGGGCCCCCACGTCATTGCCAGGTCCATCCTCACCGCCTAACACTGGCCAGTCCTCCCAGGCTCCTGAGCCCCGGACCCTATCCTGCTTTATCCTTCATCATAGCGCGAGTCAGGTTTTCACACACCACGCGGTGTGGTGACCGACAGCGCTGGTGGTTTCCGGTGTCTGAACCAGATGGGACGCGGGGCTAGGGTCTCCTCCCGCTGTGCCCAGCACCTGGAGGAGCGTGCCCACATAGGACTCCATCAGTGTTTGGTCCAGGAGCGACTGTGGGGCGCGAAGCTGCTCGTCCCCGGAGCGCCACAAGGCGAGCGACGAACGCCCCGGGGGCTCGGGGCGTGACCAACACCGAGGAGGGCCGGGCCACCGCGTGGGGCGGGGCAGCAGGGTTGGGGCGTGCCCACGGGCATGGGCGGGGCCAGGTCTGAGGGCGGGGGCTCAGGTGTGCCGGACGGCCGCTTCCATTCGCCCTGGTCGGAGGGCCGGGGCTCGGACTGTACCAATTCGCGGCGGGGGAGGGCTGACACGGAACAGCCTACTGGCGGGGGCCTAGACAGCACAAGGTCTTCCAGACACTAGTCTTCCTGGGCGGTGGGCCAGCATTAAGCAGTGTTTGCGAAGTCCCGAAGCCCCCGGCCACGGCGAGCAGCGCCTTCCGCCACTTCAGGCTCTTCCTCCCCGCCCTGGTCCCAGTGGTTCCCGCCAACGGGCGGGGCGAGGGAGAGGGCCCCGGAAGCCGGCTCCGTGCACTTCCGGGTCGGGGAGCGCGCGGCGGTGGCGGCGGCGGCGGC